AAACACAATGATTAGTTGGAATTTAAACACTGCCTTCCTTTGCTGGTTTGTCTGCAAAGGCATTCGCAACAAAGGAGGTCCGTTGGTGGAGGGAGAAATACTGTAAGTGTAAAAATTGGGAGTATTGATGTATTTAAAATGTATAGAGTGTTGGCTGGATAGCTCAGTGAGTTAGGGCTCTGGCTGCAGAACCAGGAGTCATGAGTTTGATTCCCCACTGGGGCTCCCGAGAGAAGAGCCAGCCTGGGTGGCCTTGGGCAAGCTGCCCAGTCTCAGGTCACCCACCAGAAGAAGGGGATGGGAAACCGCTTCCGAGTCTTCTCTATCTGGAAAACCCTGGAAAGGGTTGCTATAAGTCAGAACCGATGTGACAGCACACAGAGGCAATGCAAAACAATCAACCAGCTCTCCAGCTGAGTCTGGAAGCAAGGTTGCTGCTCTGCAAAATAATCTCTTTCTGGCTAACAATCAAACATGAAAGTATACAAAGGAGGGAGGGGCGGGAAACCTCCTGGAGTCCTGAAGTGTGGGTGAAGTAAATTGAATAAGTTAGTTTACCAGCACTTTAGGTTCATAGCATTGAGCAACTGACACCCAGTGCAACCCGCTTTCTTAGCAGAGGAATACATCCGTGAGTCAAAACAAGAGTTCATATTGGTGATGTCCTTTTTAAAAAACCTCACCTGTCCTTTACAGATGTTGTGTTTTGCCATCCCAGTAAAAGCAACAGAAATTTCTTTTATAAATATTTGACTGTGTGTCAAGCCACTGTAAGTTACGACACTAGTAAAGGTCAGTTTATTTACCGTTGAAGGGAAATGTAAACATCTGAGAGAAATACAAATAGAGGCAGACAAGACACACATACATGCAACTCCACACACCGATTGCTACCAAAATGGGAAGAGTGTGCCTGTGTGTGTAGAAGCATGTGTACATACACACACACACACACACACACACACACTGGGTACCAAGGAGTGTCAAGTGTCATATAGCAGGCAACAAAAATGGCAGCAGACGAAGCCAACATGGATTTTCCTCCACAGACTAACTAGTTTGGCTGGGTGAGCATTTAAAATAATTTTCTGTGTGTCATTTTGATACACTTAGAGACTAAAGATGACTCAAAGTTATAATGCTTTTAACTTTTTAATTATGCATCCTTTGCTTTTTATTGTGCCTTTTTAGTCATAATCTACATTTTTAGAATTTAATTAAAACCCTCTTTGTGGTATGTTGGATTTTTTATATTCCTGTATTTTCGATTGCATTCTGACTTCAGTATTTGCTTGCAACTGAATTTCAATTTCATATATTTTTGAGCACTTGTGCCTACAGTTTTCTATAGCTGTAAGATGTTTTCAATAACGTTGAAGTATTTTTGTGCTCATGAAATACAGAAGCAATGTAAATGAATAAAGCTTGTAGAACTAAACAAACTGATGTTGCCTGGAATCTTTGCAACACTGAAAAGACTTATCTCTTGATACCCAGGAGAATTTGGATGTGATTGGAAATGGTTATCGACTGACATTCTGGAATTAACCCTTTTTCTGGGATCAGTGCCAGCTGTGACAAACATGGACTTCTGATTTTTTTTCCTAGAGGCATATTGAATTCTATAGGGCTCTGAGTAGGATGTTCAGTTGTCTAGCTCCCTGACCTGGCATGGAAAACAGGAAAACATGTTTTGGCAATCATTCTAGCATATTTGCAGAATTTGCTCTTAGGTGCAACAGAACGCTTTCTTTCCCCGGTGTAATAGATGAGGCTGGCAAGGCTATTCCGACCAAAGTATCTTGCCAGAGCCACCCTGGGTGGCCTTGGGCCAGCTGGACAGTCCCAGGGCAACCCCAGAAGGGAATGGGAAACTACTTCGGAGTAGAGCTAGGAAACCCTGGAAATCAACTTGACAAGCATAAGCTGTGATGATTGCTTTGTAGATCTGAGTCAATTTCATAGATTCATTGGATCTTCTCGACTTATGGCTACCGAGTGAAACAAGGTCCTTGTATGAGAGGGCTGGGCTCATCCAGAAGGGTTCCTGGGGCACCCTGACATATTACAGTGGGGTCTCTACTTAAGAACGTCCCTACTTAAGAACAATCCAACTTAAGAACAGCTCCATTTGCTAAATTTTGCTTCTACTTGAGAACAGAAATCCAAGATAAGAACAGGAAAAAAAAACCCTTTCCTGCTCTTTTTTTAACCTTAGGTCATCTTAGGTTAAAAAAAATATTCTCCCCATAGTGGTAGAGTACGTATTAACCAGCTTTGGTTAATGTACGCACGCACCTCTACATAACAAAAAAACAGCCAGAACGGATTAATTGGTTTTCAGTCCATTCCTATGGGAAATTTTGCTTCAACTTAAGAACATTTCAACGTAAGAACACCATTCCAAAACGGATTAAGTTCTTAAGTAGAGGTTCCACTGTAGTTTCTATGGACGGAAAAGAGCAGATACGGATTAAATGGTTTTCAATGCATTCCTATGGGAAATGCAGATTCAACATAAGAACTTTTCAACTTGAGAACCACCTTCCAATACAGATTAAGTTCTTAAGTAGAGACCCCACTGTAGGTTGAAAGAAAATCAAGAAAAAAAGGTTTGTTTTGACTGACACCCTGCTGAATTTAGCGATCATGGCTGTGGTGGGTCCTGCAAGGGAAGGAATCGGGCCTGAGGAGCCACAGAAGTTGACCATCAGCCGAGCAGCTTTAGGATGGACGAGACAGGATTCCTCTACCCAGCCCAACGTAGCGACTTAGTCAGAGGAATTTACGCGGCTCTCTCTTCTAATTCTGCCCTGATTCCGTTTGGCTTTCATCTGTTTTTTGAGAGACAAAGAATTGGAAACGAACTGGAAGTAGCCGGCTGGAGCACAAATCTGAGCAACTCCTATTAGCGTCAGCAGGGAGCTAATAAGAAAACAAAGTTATAAATAAAGTACAGAGGTCAAAAGTGATGTATATTGAGCAGAGTTATTGCTTTAGAAACAATACCGTGCTCCAAGTGGTACCGGCTTTAGACAAAGGTCAAGGTGGAAGAAAACAGGAGTGTAGCAGGAACAATGAGGACAGAACAGTTTGCAGAGTCTTGAGTTAGAATCTTGGAATGATGGAGTTGGAAGGGGGGCCTCGAAGGTCATCCAATCCAACCCCTTGCTCAACCCAGGAATACAAATCAAAGGAGATCTGCCAGGTGGCTGTCTATATTTCTCTTGAATGCCTCCAGCGTTGGAGCGCTCACCACCTCCTGAGGACATGGGTTCTGTTGTCGTACTGCTTTAACAGAAGATATTTTTCCAGATACCGTATTCCAGTGGTCCCCAATCTTGGGCCTCCAGATGTTCTTTGACTTCAGCTCCCAGAAATCCTGGCCAGCAGAGGTGGTAGTGAAGGCTTCTGGGAGTTGTAGTCCGAGAACATCTGGAGGCCCAAGGTTGGGGACCACTGCTGTATTCAACCGAATATGCCTTCCCTCCTGTCACCACTTGATTTCTATTTTTCCATCTTGAATGACATCATTATTGTTGTTAAATTGTTGTTTAAATTCCTTTAACTTGAGCCCATTGTTGCGTGTCCTGCAGTCTGGGATTTTTAATTATGAGCTGTTTAAGGATGAAACAGGTTACTTACCTATGAAAAAAAAGAGAATTTCCTTTTTGGAGGTATTTGAGCAGAGTGAGTCAGTGGCCCTCTCTGAGCAATCCTACATTCAGAAGTCTGGGCGAGATGGCTAGCAAAAAATTGCAGCAAGACACCCCCAATTTCTTTAGAAAGCTGGCAGGGATCCCAAGACACAAGACATGGGTTTATTGTACGCACCCTGGTTTCAGGTTATTATTATGGAGATGCGCAGGTGGAAGCTAGCCGCTGAAAAGGCCAACGGCGTTATCAGCAACTGGTCACATTATTGCAATGAAATTAGATATTGTCCTTGAGATGTCAGGAGCTGCCTACTGCATGGACCACATGGAATATATGGTTCTTACGGGTTTATGGTGGGGCGGGTTTATACAATGTGTAATATAGCAATATATCTATATTGCTGTTGCTATTGTTATGTGCTCTCAGGTTGGAAATCACTGGCAGGGACCCTAACTGGGCTTTCAGGGGAAAGCGAGATATTTATAAAAGGCTATCGTTCTCTCAAGCAGTATCAGTTTTACCCGTTTGCACAGACACACCCAGTGAGATCACAGGGCTGGGCGTAGATTCGAACCCAGGCCTTTTGGGTTCTAGTCCGTCCCTCTAACCACTACACCATGCAGGGTATCTGTATATCTATACTGTACTTACGTATGGCATATGGCCACCCTGTGACTGAGTGATCTGCAAAACGTCCTGCCCTCAGCCCCTGTTGGCTGTGGCTTCTGGAATTTATGGGAGTCCGTTCCTCTCGTATTGGGGCTTCCTCTTTTCCTGCTGCTTGCAGATATATTCGCTTATTCACGGATATATACATGGTCCATGCAGGAAGTAATTGCTTCCTGGTGGAGGGTTTGCTCTCTTGGACCGTGTGTGTTTTGTGCCATAAAGTCGGAAAAGGTTTATAGCAACCCAAAAGTGAGATTTTTAAGGAGTGGTTTGACCAGTTCCACTCCCTCTGCGGGCTTCCATGGCTGAGCGGGGATTCGAACTCAGGATTCCTGAGTCCTAGTCCATCTCTTTCTCCCTGTGGTTCCCAAACTTGGGACCCCAGATGTGTTTTCACTACAAACGCCAGAAACCCAGCCAGCAAAGCTAGAGGCGGTGGCTTCTGGGATTTGTAGTCCCAAAACATCTGGGAACCCAAGGTGGGGACCTTTTGGTCTGTTCACTGTACTGAGAATCTGCTTGGACTACAACTCCCAGAACCCTACTGCCAGCATGAAGCACTACTGCCCTCTTCTCCTTTAAGATAGGGGCGGAGTCTTCCACAGTCCTCCCAGGGGATCCAGAGCGGCTTTATAGCTACAGTTGAACACGAGTGGGCCGCTCTAGGGAGTCTCAGTCTATGGTTCTCGCCCCTCCACACGGTTACAGCCTTTCCGCTGTGCGCTTCTCTATGGTTTGGTGAGCCGCCTCAAGGTGACGCGACAAAGGCGACAGCAAGGCCGAGGGGCAAGGGAGGGCTGAGCTCGCGCAGGCGCAGGAGCGGCCGAGACACCGGAAACGAGTCGGGCGCAGGCGCAAGAACAGAAGCCGGGTTGCCTGAGAAGGGGGGAGGCTTCCCTCAGGACGATGTCCCGCAAGCTGGGAGGGAAGGGCCGGCCGGGGAAGGCGGAGACCGAGCGGAAGCGGGACGAGCGAGCGGCGCGGAGGGCCCTGGCCCGGGAGCGGCGGAACCGGCCCCCTCGGGGCGAGGGCGAAGGCGGGCTGGCCGCCCAGCTCCAGCCACTCGGGCTGCGCCTCCGGGAGGTCCCAGGCGACGGGTGAGCCAAGCCCCGCCCACTGCTCCTCTAGGCCACGCCCCAAACCCCCCATAAGGGTGGTTCTGTGGTTGACTCCTCCCTCCCCTGTGTATGGAGTAGTTGCCCCGTGGATAAGCGAATCCGTGGATATCAAACCCCGTGGGTCCGGAGGGTCCAGGGAGACACTTTGGTTGTGGCCAAGGTCATGCTGGGGGGGTGTTCCTCCTCCTTTGAGACTCTCAGTCTCCCTGTGAGGGAGGCTGGGTGGGAGAGACTGACCTGAGGAGTCCTGCAGTGGGACTCGAACCTGTGACCTCATCCAGCTGTTCTGACCCTCAGCCTTCCTCTTGGGTTTGTGTCTTGATCAGCAGAGGGGGCTGGCTTCCCCATGAAGGAGGTTAGGTGGCGCAGGGTATGCACCGTTTGTCCCTCATTCCTGCGGGTCACCTGGGGAGATTCCTGGCCCTGTCGGGCTAGAAGTTGACTGTCCCAGGCCAGCAGTAGCCACTGCCTCAATCATATTGTGTTAACTGAGTCTGTTGCTCAAACGGATAAAATCCCATGTTTGATTTCCACTGCTTGCTTAAAACTACAGACAGGAAAGCAGTGGTTCCTCCTATCCGCGGGATCAGTATCCGCATATTCCCTTTTCCCCTGGCTGAAAATACTAATTTTTAAAAATCTAAGAAATATCAATTGATACGTGTTTCCAGGGTGTATTTACCATTTAACTGGCCACTAGAGGCAGCCAGAGACCATGCAATGGATATTTATTTGTATTTTTATTGTATTTTAATTGATGTAAGCCGCCCAGAGACCTTTGGGTAGAATGGGCTGCATATAAATTAAATAAATAAATAAATATTGTTCATTACATCCACGTTTTTCACCATCTGTGGTGGGAGGGGGAGAAATCCCACGGTCCTGCTGTATTTACCTTTGTGTGTATGTAGCTTTGTATGGCTTCTTTTCCCCCCAGAACACTTGCCTGCCCCCTCACAATTGACAAACCTCCCTAAGCCGAAATCTGCCCTCCCTACAGGAACTGTTTGTTCCGAGCTCTGGGAGACCAGCTGGAAGGGCACTCCCGTGACCACTTGAAACACCGGCAGGAAACTGTGGACTACATGATCAAGCAACGGGAAGACTTTGAGCCTTTTGTAGAGGACGACGTCCCTTTCGAGAAGCACGGTGGGTGTGCCGTGGGATGCTGTCAGGGGGTGGTTGCCTCTGTTGAGCCGGTCCTACCATTAAGAGGATGGAGGTACCGGTCTCAGAGAAAGCAGCAGATGATTCCTCATTCATTTGTTGGTCTTCTGTGTTTACTCTTGAGAATGGAAGCAGAAGTTTATCGTTTGCTTAATAACTTATATTTAAATAAACACCGATATTGTGGCAAAAGAACCCCAATGTTTAAGTGCTCCAGATCATTGCAAGGTGAGGGCACAGCTAGTGCTAAATAAAGGTGCCGAGCACCAGTTTTAGCGTTTGCTCTTATTGTGCAGAGAAGGGTTTGTGGGTGACGTAGAGAAGTCGACAGATGAAATCGCTCCCCAGTGCTGTTCAGGACTTCCCTTCTTTCCCTCTGTCTTGTTCGCTGGCCTGGTGTTTTGACAGGCGATGGTTGCTTTCACCGTCTAGCCCCTTATCCTACATTTGGGGCCCCTTCCCTCACTCCCTATGTTACCTCTCTCCTTATTTCTTCCAGTCGCCAATTTGGCCCAGCCCGGGACTTTTGCCGGTAACGACGCCATTGTTGCCTTTGCACGGAACAATCAAGTCAACGTTGTCATCCACCAGCTCAATGCTCCTCTGTGGCAGGTGAGCCTCCAAACCTGGGCCGGAGGGCAGCTTGCGGAGAGTGGCCGGGTGCCCTGGCCACAGCTGGAGAGATCCGTCTTCCTCTGGCTGCTTTGCCTTTTGAACTCGCTTTTCCAATGGGGCTAGACCCTCGGAACGACTGGTGCTTCAAGGCAACGGTGGAGACCCGAGTCGTGTGGAGGTGGTGGGAACTGAAAACTCAAACCCCTCCGTCTTGCAGAGGGTTTCCAGCTAGTCAAGGAAAATGAAGAGGGCAGTGAACAAGGCAAGAAAATAAAATTGAGGCAAAAGAAAGGAGAAATTCAATAATGATTACGCCTGATGTGTGTGGGGTTTGACCAATTGGAGGTCTAAAAAAACCTCCAACTTTTCCCACTCTCTGCCTGGCCGCCCGCTTCCGCTGCGTCATCCAGGACACGGCCCTGCAGGCAGTCGAGAAGCACTTCTTGCCGGGTCTGGACTGTGCCAACCCCCCCCCCCGGAGCTCAGCAAAGGCACCACCAGCTCGGGGGGCACCGGGCCGAGTCACGGCTGCAGGTCCACGTAGGAGCACTGCTGGAGGGTCCAGCGTGGGGTGGTGGCAGCAGGTGGCGGCAGTGGCACAGTCCATGCCAGGCAAGAAGTGCTTCTTGACCAAAGCGGGCAGCCAGATGGAGGGTGTCTGGGCAGAAGAGGACATTGTAGAGCAGATGGCGGGAGCCCTGAGGCCAGCAGCGACTCCTTGTGGCAGGGCAGAGTGGCCGCGACCAGCGGCTGCTGCCGGGCGCCGAGTGGCACTTGGGTTGCCCCCCAGCCGGTAGGCGTAGAGGTTGAGGTAGCAGCGGCAGAGGCCGGCCTGGCTGGTCCACAGGACCCAGCTCGGGGGGAGGAAGCAGGCCTTGATGCCCCGCTGGCACGTCAGGGCCGCCACCTCGGCGATGTACTCGGCAAAGAGGGTGCGGAATCCCTTGTTCCGGAAGGCCTGGCTCAGGCACTCCGCCTGTCAGCTTAAGACCCGCCAGGCTTGAGCGGGCCTCCATGGCGAAGCCCCCTCCCCTCTGCTCAAGGCCGAGCTTGCTTAAGAGGTGGGGGTGTCACGCACAAGCGCGAGGGGCGTTTCATGCTTGTGTGCATGCGCATGGTCTCGACACACCCACCTGCGAGCGTGACATGCCCACCCATGAGTGTGGGGTGTTTCCGCCCCCCAACCAGTCCACGGCCCGAAAAAGGTTAGGAGCCACTGAAAGGAAACTGCGTCTCAGGAGTTTCTGACTCTCGCGACCATTCTGAGCAGGCCTTCCTCCTGCCAGGGTTGCCTGCTCTTCGGGTCTCCCAGGTTTTGGAGCCCGATGCCTGGAGCTTCTCCTCAGGTACTGCGCTGGTCTTTCACAGATTCGTGGCACAGACAAAAGCAACGCCCAGGAGCTCCATATTGCCTACCGATACGGGGAGCACTACGACAGCGTCCGGAAGATCAACGACAACTCGGAGGCCCCTGCCCGGCTGCAGACGCAGGTTGGGGTCTGTTAAACGTGTCCGGGATGTTGGCGGCTCTCCGGAAAGCCTCCTGGGATTTGAGCCCCTTGCCGGGTGGTGAATGTTGCCCTTTCTGGCTTGTAGGAAAAGCATGAACCTTGCCTTCTGCCATTGGGAACTCCCAAAAGAAAAATGCTCCTTTAAAGAGCAACTTAAAAACAATTTTTAAAAGCTGTCTTTAAAACCCCAAGAGCGTATGGAATAATAGTGGGCTGGCAGTCCACTGAAAGTTTATGAAGGACAGAATCAGTCCAGCTCTCCTTAGGAGAGAGTTCCTCAGATGTTAAAGCAATCTGAAGGCCGGGTTAAAAGCACATCAGAAAATAAAGGTATAAATCCGCTTGCTGAGAGTGTCTTTATATACCTGTATCTTTCAGTGGCGACAGGTGTTCAGGGTCCAGATGAAAAGAAGTAAAGGAACGGTTCTGTGTTTATTTGTTTTATTTGAAATATTTTCACCCCACCTTTTTCCTTAAAGAGGACCCAAGGTGGCTTGCATCGTTAAAAGACAATATTTAAAGTAAAAAAAAAAAATGACTATACAATACTGAAAAGGATCCAACCAGACTAAAAGACGGTGGACAAAAGCAACACCAAAAAAATACATTCAAAGCAGGAAGGCGACAAGCATTCAAAAACTGCTCCCAGACAGCCAATCGTGAAGGGAAAGCCTTCCTGAAGAGGAAGGCCTCGGCCAGCTTGCAGAAGGAGAGCAGAGTCGGGGCCAGGCTGCCTCCAGTGGGAGGGAGTTCCAAAGGCTCTGGGAGCAGCCACAGAGAAGGCCCCTCTCCATGTGTCCCCACCAGATGTGCCTCTGAAGGTTTTCCTTTGGCCACACCTCACCTGGGTGCCACAGGTTAAAAGGGGTATGAATAAGATGGAACATGAATTAAAAGGAGAGAAACCAAGGGGCGGAAGGGAAGGGAAGCTGGCTGCAGGGAGACTGCGGTCAAAGTCACCTGATTTGCTGCACAGATGACTTCCCCGTTTCTTTTGGTGTCCCTTCCAGATGCTGTGCAAAAAGGAGTTGAATAAACAAGAGAAGATCCCACTGAAGACGGAGGAGGAGGGCTCAGAAGAGGAAATCCAAAACGAAATTGAAGATGCCATCCAGAAAGTCCGGAACGCCACCGGCTGCCTGGTGAGCTTCTCTACCCCCCTCCTGGCTCTGGAGCCCTGGCGGGGCCGTCCTCCCTAGACTAGAGCCCCCCAGCCTCCGGCGGTCTCTCGACCTCTGTGTAGCGAAGGTGTGGCAGGCGACACCTGGTTTTTGAAAACTATCTGGCTCCTCTCGTTTTTCTTTGCAAGGATTCTGGTTTGATCGTCCAGGTCCTCGAAATGGAAGGCTACAACCTCGAGTCTGCAATTTTTGCCATTCTTCAAATGAATGAGGTGAAAAGGCTGCGTAAGTAGTGAGCGGTTCCCTGTGGGGCCCTTTATTTCTCTCCCACCCACCCCTTTGAGCCCAAAACCTGCCCACCCATGAGTTGTGTGGATTTTGATCATAGCAGTACAATTGGTTCTCTAGACTATTCGTGCATGCTTCTCTATTTTCTGTGGGCTTTGCAGTTACAAAAGGTTAATAAACAGTACAGTGTTGCAATAATTCATTCTAGTTGCGTAATTCTGATTTTAATACTGCAATACAATGATAGCGATAGGTATGTATTCTGGTGTGAGCCTTGTGGCGCAGTGGCTGAACTGCCGTGCTGCAGCCAAGACTCTGCTCACGATCTGGGGTTCAATCCCAGGTAGCGGCTCAAGGTTGACTCAGCCTTCTATCCTTCTGAGGTCGGTAAAATGAGTACCCAGCTTGCTGGGGGGTTGGGGCAATGTGTAGCCTGCATAATTAACTTGTAAGCCACCCAGAGAATGCTTTTAGCACTGGAGGACAGGACACTCTGGAGATGGCTCATTCATAGGGTCAAACTAATTTTGAAGTCCAAGTTTCGTAAGCCTGTTGGAACCTGAAAGCATTCACCGTTTATTCGGCCTGAACTTTCAAGACCTCCTTCCTTGGCCATGTTTGAGCATGGGACGAGCTGATGGCTGGATCTATTGCCAGCTGTTATAAACCAAGTGCTGGCTGGAGAGTTCAGTGGTTCAGGTTTTGGGCTGCAGAGGGAGCGATTTGGGAGTTTGATTCCCGCACTGTGTGCCTCCAGTTGAGGTTGGCAGGAAGGTGGTTGGGAGAAAGGGAAGGTCGGCCCAGGCTGTCCACGTCCTTTCCTCTTAGCGAAAGGACAGAGCCCCCCTGGATCTCCTCCAGAGCCGGCACTCACAGCCCTCTGCCTTTCCTCTGTGATGCTGCCTGGGCCCAGAGGACAGGGACCTGGAACTCTGCCAGCATTTGGTGTCCCTAATATCACTCTTTTCCCCCCACAGAAGCCGAGGAAGCCCACCCGGCCCAGGCCAACAGGCAGAAGCTGCGGCCGAGGTCGGCCCTCTGGGAGGAGAACGGAAGCGGAGCCAGGATTTTTGGGGGCCAAGAAATAGAAAACAACAAGCCTCCAATGACCCCCTCGGAAAGAAACCAAGGCGGCAAAAGGCAGCCGGCTTCAAAGGTACCTGAAAGGGGGGGGGTCGGAGGGGTGAGGTCGTCCACCGAACCCTTTACAGGCCTCTTAAAAGGAACTTTTTGATTGATGGCAGCTCCCATCGTCCCCCCCCGAACGACCTGACCCCCCCTCCCCAGGGGGTTGCAGTCCTCCAAATAGTTTTCCAGACTTCTGATCTCGCGGGGGAAATCCCAAAAAAAGGATGGTTTTCTAGCCAATGATTCTGGATTCTCTTCTTCCTTCAGTCTCTCCATTGCTGCTTCTTTGGAAGTTTGCTCAGGCAAAGTCTTTATGGCTTTGGTTTTATAAATGCTCATCCAGCCACGCACCCTGCCCTACCTTGAAAACCAGCCATCTTTCCGACGTTTGCTCAGCAGGGAATTGTTCTTTAAGCTTGCTACATCCGTGGAACCCCTCTGCCTTCCTTTCTGTATCTTGGTTTCCTTTCTCACGTCCTGTTTTCCCCCACTTTCTCATGCTGTGATTCCAAAGCTCCGATTTCCCAATGGTGGGCTCCCTGCTTTGCACCTCCCACCCTCTTGCCAGAAATGCCTGCTGGCAAGGGTGAACCCAGGGCTTTGACATTCAGCAAGCCACAAGTTAAAGGAGAAATTGGAGGAAAGGGTGCTGCCTCCTTTATGAAGTACAGCCATGTGTTGTGTATTGTAATTCAACAAGGGACCCTCCTGTTTCCACAGGAGATGGGTTCTCAGCCCCTCAGGGGATGCCTGAAACCGTGGCTAGAAGCAAACCTCTTCACGAACTGCGGGTGGGAGGGCAAAAGGAGGCAGGGTATGCGCCCTGCGGTGCGCGCATGCACATGGCAGACTGGGTTGCAACAGCAGTGTGAGGAGGAGAGTAAGGAAACAACAAGTAGTGAGCCGTCCCCTCAGATAGTTATCGTGGAGTCAGAGATATCAGTGAAGCCCGAAATAAAAGAACAAGCAGAGGAGATAGAGGAAGGTCGCGCGGGCAGAGTAGAGAAAGCTCGAGAGGAGGAAAGGCGCGCGGGCGAGGAGGAGAGGCGCGTGAGAGAAAGTCAGTTGAAACGGTTGAGAGAGGAAAGGGAAGGTGCGAGAAGCAAGGTGTACCGGGAAAGAGAGCAGATAGATGTTTTCCTAACTGCCGAAGAGGGAGAGATCTCTAAAGAGACGGAGAAAGTGTCTGTATTCAAAGAGAGAGAGTCTGGAAAGACAATTGAAGATGTTCAAGCCTTTTCAGTTCCAGTAACGAGATCTGCTCAAGCCCTGTTTGAAGGTGGAAGTGAGGAGGGAAAGCCCGGCGCGACAAGACCAATCATTCCTGGGTTGAGCCCCGAAGAATGGACCGTATTGGTCTTCCCGAAGAAGCGTGGTCCTGCTCGAATAGTGCATCACATTCCCCCAGAAGTGGAGAAGGAAATATCGAGAGAGGGGGATTGGGCCCGCCACCCTTGTTGCGGGACCCTGTGCGCTGTTCGCAACAATTTTCTGAGACTACCCACGGAAGAGGAAGAGAAAACAAGAACCTATTACTAAAAGGGTTAGAGGAAGATAAATCGTTGTTATGGTTCTGGGAGAGTTCTCCTCCCTCGTTGTCTGTTCATGGTTCAAATGTTAGTAACAAAGAAATGGCAAGTGAGCTTATTAATAAAAATGTTTCGTTAAATACTTCTGAATCCTCCCTTGTGTCTCCAAGTAAGGAAAAGCCCTTTAAAGACAGAGAACCCACTCACAAGCAGTGACTGCCGGAGCTGTGGAAACTGGTTCAGTGGATAGAAGGGTCCTTCTCTATCAGGGCTGCAGGTGAACCGTGTGAGGTGAGGCGGAAGCAGGGAAGAAAAAGATGGGTGTGTCTGTAATGTGTGGGTCGATGGAGGCGGAGGAAGGAACAAGCAAGGAAAGGCTTGGACGCCAACCCTTGGCACAGGTCTCCAAGGGAGAGAGGCCGGGTTGCTCCTGGGCTCCTCACGTTTTTCCTGCCCCAAGAGGAGAAAGAAGGCAGAAGGGCCAGCAAGGAGGTGTCTGAGCCTTCTCCCTCTTTCGGGAAAGAAACTGGCCCTCGTTGACTGGGAGGGCGCAGGAGAAGCTGGCTGGACGTGTCTGGCCAAGGGTAGGAAGGCCCACCTCCACCGGCAGGGCGAGGGAGTCCCCTTGAATCCCTGCCGCAGAGCAGGCAAACGTCTGAGACCGTCGGGTGGCTGGCGTCACTTCTTGCCCTCGGGATCCTCCGGGACGTCCCTGGGAGATGATGGGGTTTTGATTAACAAACCGAAAAGCACACTTTTCCCCACTTGGCTGAAAATAAGGCAGGAGGAGGAGGTGCTCCTTGCTTGAGAGGAGCTTCGGGCCACACACCTACCCCAAGGAGAGGCATAAAATGGGAAACTCTGGCTTAGGAGGCGGGTTGGGCGCTGGTGCTTCTTAAAACGTTCTTGGGATGGCAGGATTTCCACCCCGGCTTTTCTGCCTTGACCAGGCCCGTCCTTTTTCATGGGAGCTGCCAGAGTCTTCCGCAGTGGGAGCAAGATGTTCTGCCTTTTCTTTCTCTCCACCCAACTAAAGTTGTTCTCTGCCTTGGGTGGGTGGAGCTCCTCCCGGCCACCGTTCTTCCTTGCTTCTCTTTCTGTTTGGCCTCCGGCTCTCTGCCACAAAAAAGCTCTCTTTCCAGCAGGACCTCTGTATCCGTGAGGGTTCGGTTCGAAGTCCCCCCTCCCTCAGATGCTGAAAAATGCAGATAACGGCAATCTCTATTTTAATAGTGGACACTATGCATAATAACATGGTCTCTGTACCGCCCTAATGGCTGGTTCTGGTCATGACACGGTGGAAATCTATTTCTCTTATAAAAGCTGTACATTACATGGTCTTTGGTTCCCGTTACTGGCTTGTCCTTATAACTTCATAGTTTTAATAATTTCAGACCATGGGTCAGTGAATCAGCAGATGTTGATCCTGTGGATAAGGGGGTCCCACTGTACATCCCATCTTTTCTCCTGGTTTATCTTCCTAATTCTCTCTGTTGGCAGATTTCTAACAAGCAGAAGAAGGAGCAGCAGCGGCTAGAAAAGAAACGGCGTCAGGAGGACCGGCACCGGCAGAAAGTCTTGGCCGGCCAGAGCGACTCCTCAGACAATAATAAGACAGAACCAGGCGCCGAGTCGCAGGTCACCTTGGTGAAAATGAAAATTGCAGCTCTCAACATCTGACTTCACCGCCTTTTGCCCTGGAAAGAGAAGAAAGGACCTCGGAAGGGAGGAGAGGGAACCACCGTCGGTGGCAAAGCCTCCCTCTTCAGAGCAGAGACCTCGGCTCCTCCTGCCGGCCTTTGTGAGCCCAGGTGTCCTCTTGATTCTTGGGTGGCCATCCAAGAGGTCCCCAGTCCCTGTGGTGGCCGCCGAGGTGGGGCTGGTGGTGGTCCCCAGTGCTGGATGTGGGGGTTGAGTGGGGCCTGCGACCAGGCAGAATCCCCCCTTCACCGCTACAAAGGACCTCACATGACCTCCTTCGGCATCTTTCAAAACTGCTGCCCGCTTTCTCATGCTTTACATGACGCCCCCCAGGAGCACCAGATCTTTCTTTACTCAGGAATATGCGCCTGTATTTCCTTTCCTTTTCTTTTCTTTTTTCTTTTTTTGCAAATGACTGTATGGAGGGAACGAGGGGGACGGGACCCTCTGTTGCCCAAGGTCTGTTCAAAGCGAAATTGCCCACCAAAGTTTGTACTAAGCTGGCTGCGCTGTCCTCGTTTCTTTTGTCTTAACTGCAATAGCATTAAACTTGGGACTGTGCACTTTGCTTTGTGGCATTCACGCTGGTTCGTCTCCCTTCTTTGTCGGGGTGTGAGCGCGTGTGCTTGTTGGGTGTAGAGGTGTTACATTTCTAAAAATTTACATTTTTTTTTAAGATCAGGAAAAAACCTCAAGTGTAAAGAGGTGTCACTGGAAACTCAGGGGAAGATCATATCCACACCCTTGTATTCTTGATCATCGTGGATGGGTGTGAAAGCTGGACAATGAGGAAAGTTTGACAGGGACAAAAACAGATGTGCTTGAAATGAGGTGGTGGAGGAGAGCTTGGTGGATACTCTGGGCTGTCGGAAAGACAAAGAAGGAGGTCCTGGGATCAAATCAAGCCTGAAATCTCTCTGGAGGCAAAAACATTGAAACTGAAGCTGTAAAACTAAACCTAAAGCTGAAATATTTTAAAATTGTTCTTAAGCTTGGCTTTTAATCTTATACAGTAGGTTTAATTGTTTTTTAAATACAGTATCGATACAGTGTTTTAGAACTGTGTTTTATAGTTTTTTCTGTTGTGGGCCACCTTGGGTGGGGAGAAAGGTGGCAGGTAAATAATATAAAGTCAGTAAGTAAATTATGCCCAACTAAAATGTCATGAATACGTGCCTGCATTATGAGGCTAGGAGGTACAAAAAAGCAGGAGATTGTGTGTATGTGTGTGTTGTTCCACGCTGACTCACACGCTATGTGGATGGGCTCTTCATTGCTTTGACAGAGTTTTTTGTCTCATATCTTAAAACTCTGAATCGAAGGTGAGGAGCTTTTAGGCTTAGAGTTGTTTTATTTATTTGTTTGTTTGTTTATTTATTTATTTGATTTATACCCTGCTTATCTGGACCACCAGACCACTCTAGGCGGCTTCCAATATAAAATCAGACAATAAAAACTCAAACGAATACATAATAATGCAACAACAACTACAACACAATAAAGAATAGGGAAAAGTAAGAAAAAAATCAAGAATTGGCTGGAGGGAAGGCCTGAATGAACAACCATGTTTTTAATTGGGTTTTAAAGATGCCCAGCGTAGGGGCCGTGCGAATCTCCGGAGGGAGATTGTTCCAGAGGCGAGGAGCCACCGCCGAGAAGGCCCGGTTTCGCGTCTTCTTCCTTGTAGAGCTGGGAAATACTACCTTTGAGACAACAAATCTCAGAATCCTGTGTTCAGGACAGATTTTTCGCTGCACAGGCATCGGAAAATGGCCACCCTATGGAGGATCTTCACTGGACGCTGAGGTATTTCGCCCATTGGAACACATTGAACCCGTTTTCCATGCATTTCAATGGGCTTTTTTATTTTGCTTGACAAGTATTTCGCTCTACAGCGATTTCGCTGGAACGGATTATCCTCGTCAAGCGAGGCACCACTGTATTTCTCGTGGAGTTTGTTGTTTACAGCCCCTGTCTTACCCTAATTATGCAGAGCGAGGGTGTGATCAGACAGGGAACTTATTCGCATTTTGGACTGCTTGTGAACAGTCCGGTGTGATCTACGTTCTGGCGATTGCGTGACATGTTTGGGACTGCGAACCAGCTTGATCCCGATCTGTGCCCAAGCTGGACCATTGTGGTCTAGCAGCAAGCTGACATTTGTGGGGGGAACTGGACTGCCGCAATTTCTCCATGAAAGGAGGGTCACTTGAAAGAGAGATCACTCCCAGTAAGGTGTGCTTTTTCTGATGCAATGAGATGTGATCCTGCCTCCTCATCCGATTGCACGCCTAGTCATTTGGGATAACTCTCCCTGCCTGTGATGAAAGGGATTATTGGCCTCCACAGAAAACTGGCAAAATCCGTCTTGCTAAAAACTTTTGGACTTTACACCGAAGTGTAATTTTCCTGGCAAAATCCATCCTGCCACGAACATTTGGACTTTACGTTCTTCATACCAATAGAAGCCTGATGAAGTGGTGGTTGGGCGTAGAGGTGTGACATTTCTGAAAATGAACATTATTTTTCATGAAAAATGGAAAATCTGATTCTTCGGCTGCCTCCCCAAGAGAGTTGGGGAAGGGCTTTTCCCTAACATTCGCTCCCCTCTTTGGTCCGAGGGTCGGCGTCATGAGGCTTGTGGCCCACAGCCTTCCTTGGTCCCTCTGGCCCCCATTTTGAAAGTTAAAAGGGTTTTCAAGGACTAGAAGCGTGGATCAAATTGTCGCTGAGGTGTCGGCCAGAGAGTTTGGTTGACCTCGACGCCTTCAGCTCGGGGCAGTTCTGTCACACTCCTGGATGGAGGCCCCTCTCGTGCCCTATGGCCGTGTGCAAGGGAGGACGAGCCGGATCTGGGGTGATTGTGCACCCTGGTGCGAATGTGGGCCTGCTTCTCTCAACCTGCCTTGACCAGGAGTTGGGAGAAGTTGTGTGTATGTGTGTCTGAGCGGGTTGGGGTGGGGAGTGGATGGTGTGAGGCATAAAACATTGGGAAGGGGCTCCGTGATGTCCTCGGGAGAGTCGCCTCCCCTTATATTAGGGGCTGTTCATGGGGTCAAGATTGAGGGGCGCCCTTGCCCTCAGAGATTTGAAGGGGACATCACAAGAAAGAAACCTGTCCGGGATGCCCTTTCATTTTGAAACTCTGGTGTTTACTTCTGGACCTCTATCCAAAGACACCAGGAACTCTGAAGGTTTTGACTCTTCAAGTTCAATAGAGGCAGCCCGATTATGTTGGTCTTCTTCCTAATTGCACCACTTATATTTTGTTCCCTGTTTAGAGCGATTTCCCTGTTTTGCCATATTTTGGGGACCCTGACCCCCCCACTAGTTAAAACTAATTTCTCAGCCACTAGAGGGCTGTCTATGTGTGCATATGTACACACACACAAATACACACACACACACACACACGTGCATACATGTATAGTTGGTGGGGAGGGGGTTTGCAAGAAGGGTCTGCCCTCCAAGTCCTGGGATGAGGGGGACAGACTGTTTCCATGTTCCTCACTTTTATTTTTCCAGATTCACACCAACTACTGTAATTACAACAAGCAGTGCTTCGTTAGGGTGATCGTGGGGGGGGGGGGGGTATCTGTCGTGCAGCACACGTCCTCAGATCCCTTAAATGGGGTTTTAATTTTTGGGCCACCAGAGGAAGCAAGAGGGCTTTGTTAAAAAGAAATGAGCAATTTTTTTGTGTGTGCTAGCAGGGGACACATCTCAACCAGAACCTTGGAGGAAACGCAGAGCTGAATCCAGGATTTGCTCCCTGCTCAGGTAAATCCTCTGGGTGTAATTCAGCATCCATGTAAAATAGGAATCCCCCCCCCCCGGTATCTGCGGGGGATCAGTTCTGAGCCCCCTTGCACATGCAGGAGAAAAAAAAACGGATTATAACCAAGATTGTTTTAATAGTGAACGCTATACATAGGCTCCCTCTAATGGCCAGTTCCAGTAATCTGGAAATACATTTTTCTAGCAGATGCTATACTGCATCATCGTGGTCTCTGGCCAGCTCTGGTAATGATGTGGAAATACATATTTCTAGGATTTTTCTCCTTACATTTGAAAAAAAACATTTTCAAACTGTGGATAAGTGAATCAGTGGATATGGATCCTGTGGATACTGGGGTGCTACTGCACTTTCATGGAGTCAATGGGTCTCTTTTAAGTGGAACAGCTCCATTCAGCCTTTGAGATTTTCTTCTGTACCGACAGGCTGTGGAAAAGGAAGTTTCTCTTCCTTGATGGGAGTTCTCCTTTTGTCCCACCAAGTAAAGCCGAAGAAGAACTGAAATAAGGAGGCAAATTAAGACTTGCATGTTCTCTTTGGAAAAAATAAAATAGAGGACCATGATGACCGCAAGTAGTACAGAGAGCAGCCTTCCTAGCACGGCGGCCTCGCCCCTTTGCACAGGATGTTTGGGTAAAACATGTTTCTGACGCGATACGAAGCCGAGGCCGTCCGGAAACACAGGCTGGCTGTCTTGTCGCATTCGCAAATCATCCTCTGGCACAGGGTCTTCCCGTCTGCGAAAAGGAGAGGAACCCCCCGTTGAGTTGCATCTGTGCTAGTCTTGACATAACACTGTCAGAAGGGGGCGGGCGGGTGGGCTCTGCGTTCGAAACACCATGGGAGTACCTGCCAGGGGGGTGGGTGGGTAGGTTTCTTTCCTAATGATTCAGGGGAGAGGGAAAGTGCCAGCCTCTGCTACACCCTTTATTAGCCGACCAACAGCTTTCTTGTTTTTTGCTTTCTAAAGTCCACCTACTCTCAGCCAGGATAGCATCGAAATGAAGGGATCGCTGGCTTGGGGCGAGCATCCTCTTCAGCAGCAGATTGAGAGGATCCATGTTGCAAAGGGGGACGGAGGGGGCCCGATCACCCTGGGCAATGGTGGGAGCCTCAAGGCATTCGGGAAGCAGCGGACCCCCACCCCCTAACCCTTCTACATGCCCTTTGTGCGCCAGAATCCTCGTGGGGGTCTGAAGGTACTCCAGGAGTCGCTCAGCGCACATTTTTCATTGGTGTGGTGGCAAGTTAAGCAAACACTCCCCAAGCATCTCACTCTCCACATTGTGTACCATCAAGTCAATTCTGACTTTTCAGGGTTTCCCGGGTACAGAATACTCCGAAGGGCCTTTTCCCCTTCGCCTTCTTCCGGGGTGGCCCTGGGACCGCTGTGCTGCTTGCCCAAGGCCACCCAGGCTGGCTCTTCTCCCAGGAGACCCACCACCCTGTCGATAGTCCGCGCTCTCACATACGGCAGACAACGGCGCCCTTCCGGATGGAGTAGGAAAAAATCTCCATTTTCGGGTCGCAGCCGAGAGAGGACATTTTCTCGTAACAGCAGTCGTGGGCTTGACAGCACCTGGGAACGGCAGGGAGGTAATTTCAGATGGGAAGAAGACCGGGGTGAGGGGGTGGAGCAAAAGGGCCCCCTGGCATCTCAGCGGTAAGTGCAGGTAACAGAACATTTCAATTTTCATCTTAATCAAGAGAGGGCTGTTGACCGGGAGTTCCTCCCTCTCCAAGCTGCGTTTTGGAAAATTATTTAATATTTGCAAAACTGCAAAAATTTTTGATTACTCCTGCACAGAAGACAAGATGATGCTTCCTTTGCCCCTCGGCCTTGATGAGAAAAGCCTGGCAGAACTGCTGAAAAATGCTACTCAAATTTCCCATTACTTCCTGTGACTAATTCCCTCCCAAGCTTTGGGATTTGCACGTGGGGAGAAGTTAAGTCTCGCGACCCTGTGGAACCAGGAGCAGACCGGAGTGTTAGCTCCCTTTTGGGGAAACCACTGAAAAGGCCCATTTTCCCAGGTCTTGACTCACCAGTCTGTGTCATCCAGAGGCTGTCCAGATCCCCCCAGTCCACAGTAGCAGCCGTACCCGTTGTAGAACAGAGATGGGAGCCTGCCTGTCACTTGCCGAATCATATCTGCAAACTGAATCAGGTTGCCGCTGGCCGAGGAGAGAACTGCAATCAAGAAAATGGATCAATATCCCAGGTTTTCCTAAGTAGGGGGCACCCCACTTCTGGACTGTGGCACTGCTCCCCCACACCGCGATCCTTCAGATCGATGGAACAGATTTCCAGCAGAAATTGCGAGTGGCAGAGTACATGTAAGTGTGGTTTTCTCTTTTCTAGATCTACATGCTGATTGGTACTCATAGGTTTCCTTCTCTGAATTCCTGCTTCCTTTAGCCCGGTGGAAGTACATATATAGAAGGCAGCACAAGGAGGTACAAAAAAAATATTTTAAACACAGACCGGGATTGTGTTGTTTCACTGCCCAGCCTGACCTTTGTTGGGTGAAGAGAGTAAGAATGCAGGAAGCATGGTGATTTGACATTTCTGTATTTTACGTGTTTGTGATTTCTTAGTCTTTATTTATTGGCTTTCACATTTCTCTGAGGGTCACCCTCTCGATCCAAGAATTTAGCTTCCTGTGACTTACTCTGCTTTCAGATGCTTCTGTTCTTTTCTACAACAGCCTGTGTTAAAGTCAATCACTTTGTGTTGTGCAGTAGAACTGAGAATACAAAACACTGCATCGATGTGCGTCCTTAAGGTCCATTTAATGTTTTCATTCCGTACGCTTTTCATTTTAAGGAAGCGGCTCTAGGCCATCTCTATTTTGACACCTGTTACGTGGCTGTGATCCTGCTGTACCTTGAAACCAAACTTTTGGGAATCTAGAAAAACTCTGATGGCATAGTTGAGATGCTTTTGAAGGTTTTGCTTTCTTAACCTGCAAGGGGATTTGCGCGGTACGAAAATTTGTACGGAACAAAGCCTACTCATGGAGTAGGTTGGTTATTTCTGTGCATGTTGGCAATATAGGGAACCAGTGGGACACTCAGATCCAAGACGTGCTTTCTCCCCTAGCGGGTCCGGCCATCTTCATGACAAAAGCCACAGACATGGCTCTTAATGATGGGTCACTTATGGTGACTGTTGACCTGTGGAAAGAAGGCTGATTCTGACCAGATGATGCAATTAATAAGGGTTGAAATCCTGTTGCTTTATTGCTTAGGTGGGAGGCAAAGAGCAGACCTTCCCATCCCTTCTAGCTGGCAATTAAAAGGTCCCCCGATGGGATTCTCAGGCTAGTTTGGGGATGCAGGTCCTTGGGAATCCCAGCAGCGACTCATTAATTGCCAGCTACAAGGACTGGAAACGTTACACAAGTCGCTTTCTGCATGTTTAAGAAAGCCACAGGATTGCCACCACTGTGTGTCACAAAATGTGAGATTTTTCTCCTTTCTCCACTCCTCCAGGGCAAAATCTAAGAAATGGACTGAGGTACCACAGTAGCTGTTGTCCACAGCTTTCTCTCTCAATCTTCCTCTCATGTCAAATCTATTCTTAATTTTTGCTTGAGCAAAGCATGTATACTTTTACATTTTCAAACACAAGCCAAAAGCATTTGATGGTAGGTTTGATGACATGAAATAGAACACTTGAAGGGGCCAAATTTTTTATTTTTTATTTTGGTTTTGCCAAACAAGCCAAATCAAGGAAAGCATTTAATGTTGCTAAAGCAGTAATATAAGTCTGAGATGAAAGTAAGCACTTTACATATTTCATCTCCAGTATTTCTGTCTCTTTTTCTCCCCCCCCCAATAATTTTTTCATGTGAGTTCCCTCCCTGAAAGCCTCTGGATTTCTACCAGTTTTATATCTCTGTCCATACGCCAGTGAGAGCCTGTGTGGGGTGGTGGATAGAATATCTATCACACTAGAGCTCAGGAGACGCGGGTTCAAATCCCTACTCCATCATAGAAACTCACTGGTGAGGTGGGGCAGCAATGTTAAAAAGCTCCTTGAATACAAGTGTTGGATAGTTCAGTGGGTTAGGCATTTGGCTACGGAGCCAGAAGTTGGGAGTTCGAATCCCCACCTGGACTGGATGGTCTGTCTTCTATAGGGTATTTTCTGACTCTACAGTTCTAAAATGATGACAATGAGGTTGTGAAACATCCAGATTAGGGTTCAGGGATTTATCTGGCTGGATAGATGAGGGGGTTGAGGTCTCTGGCTTGGGAGATGGACGTTGGGAGTTCGATTCCCCCCGCTGGGCCTCCTTGAGAAGGGGCTGGACTGGATGACCCCTGGGATACCTTCCAGCTCTGCTGTTCTAAGACAGTCGTTCTTCTATCACCTACCCCGCTAACTCTAGCAAGGAGAGCAATTTTCTAGCTCACAACAGCCACGACACATAGACAGCCACGGGCACACCTCACAGTAATCTACTTACCACACAGGGAAAGTAAAGGAAGCCCCAAAGAGTATTTCATCCTCATGTCGTAACCCGAAGAGGAACCAAGACCTAAAAGGACGGACTCGGGTGTCCTCTCTTTTTCAATGTTTGGGAAGGAGGAGGCGCACGGTGCCTTCCCAGTGGTGTCCCGCCTGACATTGTATACACAATCTTTGGCTATTGTGTTCTGCCTCTTGGACACAGAAGAGGATATATCAATATTGATCGTTCTCACCGGATCCTGTTTGACACGCCAGGTTGTTCCCAGGAATGAAAGCAAACAGTGCTTTGGGAACCACGGTATAGCGGTGCCCCTCCCTCAGCCGTGGAGACGTGGTGGGTCATGTTGATTTTGGTTTTTTGTCTGGGGTATCCCCACCGGAACGAAGGGAAGGAAAAAACCCTGTGTCTTCTTACTTTACAATCACTCTTCTTGGAGGCAGTCTAGTCTGAGTCTGGGTTCAAGTCCGGGACCTTTGTCCCAATCCCTGTTAAAAACAAGCTCCGTCGCCCCAGAAAATAGGGAGGGGTAGGTGGCTTCCGAATCACAAGTCAAGTCCAAGCCATGGGGAGGGGGGAAACCCGAACTGAGTCTGAGTTATTTATTTATTTTTATTTTATTTATTAGATTTCTATCCCGCCCTTTTAGACAGAGTCTAGTCCGGGCGGGTTCCTTAAACATTGTAATCTAAAACAGTAAAAAAAATGCAAACAATAGTGATTGGTAATGCTTAGTAAGGCTCAAGATGCGGAAACAGAAAATTATAATAAAAATAAAGTCAAGTATTGATGGGGGGAAGGCCGGCCTAAAGAGCCAAGTTTTTAATTGGCTCTTAAAAACACCCAGCGAGGGAGCCAGGCGGATCGCTGATGGGAGGTTATTCCAGAGCCGAGGGGCCACTGCCGAGAAGGCCCAGTTTCTCGTTCTTTCTTTCCGGGCATCTCTTGGCGTTAGGATTCGGAGTTGAGTCCATGGTGCAACTTAAGTCCAGCTTGACAGGGAGTCCCATGACTGAAGTCCCCCTCCTCACCGCCGTCTGTACGATGAACTTTCTCTGAGGCACCGGTGGCTTTCAGACTCCACCAGGACACAAAAAGTTAAGTGGGGCTCTGGTTAGTCGAAAACCCGAAGGAGAGAAATAGAGGACAAGGAAGAGAAAGAGAGTGTGTGGAAGAAAGAAACTGGGACCCCCAGTTTGGTTCAGACCTTTCCAGTCGGACGGTCCTGGGTGGATTTTTTGCACAGCGCTTGCTGGGAGCTGTCCTTGGTGCTGAAAGTTAAATCCAGCCTGTCGTGCTAGCAACCAGCCTTCGAGATAACTGGCCGTTGCCCCTGGCCTCTTTTGGGGAGCGAGGTTCAACGTTCTGCCTCTTCCTTGCCCCCTTATTTTCTATAACTTGCACCTGAAAAAACAGTTCCAGAGAACTCAAATGGTCGCATTGTATGTATGACCCATATATATATATTGTTTGACCCAAGGCCCAACGTGTTGTCCTTCTGTGGATCATTTGCCTGCATTTTTCCATCTCCATTTCATCTCAGAATGATTACTCCTGATTCTTCTTCATGGCCTCCGTGAATGCACACTAATGGGTTAAGTCTGCGCATGCGCAGAGGCCTCGGAATATTCTGGGGCTAAAGGAACCGTTTAGGACCTCCCCCAAGCCCTCATGGTCCGCCCACCCCGACGGTTATCTCAGTTCCATTTCTTCCACTGCTGCAGTAGTCTTTCTCTGGAGCTCGTCGCACGGAAAGCGAAATTTATTCACCATCGTTTCTTTAGATCTTAAACCCTAAACGGGTTTAAACCGTTTAGCTGTTTCCACAGTTCGTTCTCCCCTCCCCCTTCCCTTCCCATTTTCCTGCTTTTTTATGGCCCTGAAGGTTTCCTTCAAAAGCTGCGCCTCTTGCCACAAGAAGATCCCGTCTACAGATGGTCATCAGCTTTGCCTATTTTGCCCGGGCGAGACTCATTTCCCTCAATCCTGCCCTCGTTGTAGGAGATTTACTAAGCAGGCGCTAAAACTCAGAGATCTCCGTCTCCCCGCCGATTTGTGGGAGAAGTCCCTTCAGCCGCTGTAACAACCTCCTTCTCTATTTCACCAAGGAGGCCTGTTACACTACATCAACACTCTCTCACACTTCAGGTAGACTGCCACCAACCATTCCCTATAATGAGTCACACAGACAGGAATGGATTTCAAAAACAAAAGAACTAAAATTTATTGATTGGTACACACTTGGATTGGTAAACAAATAAAACAAGAGACTATTTAAATCAAGGCACTAGCATAAACAGACTCTAGATGTTTGTTCATACAGAACACAAGAGCTCACACAGAACTCCACAAAACTCAATACAGAACTGCTCCAGCAGAACTTAAAACAGCCCCTTCATGACACACTTTCCCCAATATATATCCATCCCAGCTCCACCCACTGATGTCCCGCCTTCCTCCCACTATTAGATGTTAAACTCCCTCCAAAACCTTGAAGGACAGGAGACATCATAGCTGGCTGTAACAGCCGCCAAAAATGGACAATAAGTCCGCCTCTTCAACCACTGAGATGCTTACTCTATCTCCCAAACTCAAGCTGTCTAAATCCAAGGCTACTTCTCTTCCTGTCAAACCCAAAACCAAGCCTTCCTCTTAAAATCCAAGAGGCCACCTTCTCCTCCTGTCCAGCAATCAACGCCCCAACGACCATCTCTTCGATCACCACCGCAGACCGAATCTACCAGGGAGCCCTCCCCTCCAATTCGTGCGGACCATTCCTCTCTGCTGCTCCTGGTACATACTGCAGTGGTACTGAAGGAAGCGCCATCCCGAGAGTCCTCGGTACCCATGAGCCCTGGGTCACCATTGCCTCCACCTTCGTAACATGGATCGGCTTTGCCACTGCCGGATCCAGTGACAGTAAAAAAAGAGAAAGGAGAAGACCAAGCATCTCGTACCGACTGCAGGAGATTCCTGGTCCTCGAAGCATTCGGGACTGAAAATCTCCAAGAAAATTGGGGTTCGAAAACATCACCCCAAGCGCAAGAAGGGCCGCGGACGCCCCGATGACTGGCCGCTGCTTCCATACAGTCTGAAAGAGATCAAACACGGTCGGAAACAAATGGAAAAGTGGTACGGCCTCCGTCTGCTGTACGGATTCGACTCTTCAAATTCAGAGTTGTCCTCCTCAGCATCTGATACCAGCTCATCAGAGGAGGATTCGTCTTCCACGGTCCGTGGTGGTACAGGGCGTAAGCGGCACCGACGCGCATGAACTTCGTCGGTACCGATAGCGACTAAGAAGAACTCCAAGTCGGTACCGGAGGCGCCCAAACAGTTCAAGTCAGCTGAGACTGCCACACATTCCAAATGTCACAGTAACGTGTCACTTAAACGACGTAGGGATGCTCTCGCTGACACTGAGCAACCTGAGAAACCCATGAAACGCCACCATTACCGCTCCCCTTCTTTGAATTCAGACTCGTCAACTCAATCTGACGCCATGGTACCTCATGTCTGACAGAGAGGAAGCTTCACAAGCCTGCATTGTCAAGTCTTTTTGTCTCAAATGTTAGATCTCTACCCAACAAGATTGAGGAGTTGGAACTTACTATCTCCCTACAGAAAAATATTCGAGACTGTTGCGTTATGATCTTTACAGAGACATGGCTTGACTCTTCCATCCCAGGGGAGGTAATTGAACTACAAGGACGCAGAGTACATCGAGGAGGCAGGTCTATTGAATCTGGGAAGAGCAGAGGTGGAGGAGTTTGTGTTTACACAAACAATAACTGGAGCACAGATGTTAAAATAATGGACATTCACTGTTCTCCTGATATGGGGTATTTGGCAGGGAAATGCCGCCCCTTTTACCTGCCTCGTGAGTTTAATGTTGTTATAATAACAGCAATATATATACCTCCTGATGCTAACACAACCACAGCTTTGAGTTGTTTTTTAACTGCTATCAGCAAACAGCAGCAGGCCTACCCAGATGGAGTGCTGGTGGTAGCAGGTGATTTCAATCAAGCCAATTTAAAGACCGTCCTCCCTAACTTTTATCAGTATGTGGACTGTCCCACTAGAGGGGAAAATATCTTGGATCAGGTATATAGTAACATCATGCATGGATATAAGACGAAGCCATTGCCTAGCTTGGGACAG